TAGAACGACGAGTGAACGCAGGAAACAGAGTAAATGGAGCCCTGCACTCTATTGTGAAGAGTCAAAATGTGTCAAAAAAGGCACGTATGGCAATTCACAATGCTGTGTTGGTCCCTACTTTAACGTATGGTAGTGAAAGTTGGGTATGGCAGAAGAAGCACGAGAGTAGAATAAATGCAGTAGAAATGAGGTCGTTAAGGAGTATGTTAGGGCTGAATCTGAATGACAGGGTGAAAAATTGTGTGATAAGAGAAGAGTGTGGTTTGCAAGATGATGTTGTGACCAGGATTAAGAAAGGAATGCTTCGGTGGTTTGGTCATGTGGAAAGAATGGATGAGGAAAGAGTGACAAAGAAAATTTATGTTGCAGAAGTGAATGGCAGAGTCGGAAAGGGACGTCCTAGGCGAAAATTTATCGACCAAATTGGCGATTTATTGAAAACGGGCCAAATTAGGAGTACCCTTAACCGACGAGCATGCATGCGTAGGTGTATGGATGTGAAGGAGGCGAGAGAGGTGTGTCAGGATCGTGCCAAATGGAAGTCTGTAGTCTCTGCCTACCCCTCTGGGTGACAGGCGTGAGTGTTTATGATTTTATGATGGATGTCTAAGTATTCAATACTTAGACATACAGGTAGTTATTATCGAAATTTCAGATTTTGATTTGGGCTGTGCGTTGATAGATGAGTCAGTCAATCAAGACATCCTCTTCTATATATGTATAAATACTTGAAAAATAAAGTACTTTATTGCAGCTTTATTGATGACACATGTGTATGTCGCTAGAATCATCAAAAAGGATTCAACGTCACAAGAGTTCTGTGCTCTACACATCTCGATAGAGAGTAATAAAGTTCTGTGTTCTACATATTTCGATAGAGAGTAATAAAGTGCTGTGCTCTACATATTTCGATAGAGAGTAATAAAGTGCTGTGCTCTACATATTTCGATAGAGAGTAATGAAGTTCTGTGCTCTACATATCTCGATAGAGAGTAATTAAGTTCTGTTCTCTACATATCTCGATAGAGAGTAATAAAGTTCTGTGCTCTACATATCTCGATAGAGAGTAATAAAGTTCTGTGCTCTACATATCTCGATAGAGAGTAATAAACTTCTGTATTCTATATAAATCTCGATAGAGAGTAATAAAGTTCTGTACTCTACATATCTCGATAGAGAGTAATAAACTTCTGTATTCTATATATCTCAAAAACCGATAGAGAGTAATAAATATCTCGATAGAGAGTAAGTTCTGTGCTCTACATATCCACTATATCTCGATAGAGAGTAATAAAGTTCTGTGCTCTACATATCTCGATAGAGAGTAATAAACTTCTGTATTCTATATATCTCGATAGAGAGTAATAAAGTTCTGTGCTCTACATATCATCGATAGAGAGTAATAAACTTCTGTATTCTATATATCTCGATAGAGAGTAATAAAGTTCTGTGCTCTACATATCTCGATAGAGAGTAATAAACTTCTGTATTCTATATAAATCTCGATAGAGAGTAATAAAGTTCTGTGCTCTACATATCTCGATAGAGAGTAATAAAGTTCTGTGCTCTACATATCTCGATAGAGAGTAATAAAGTTCTGTGCTCTACATATCTCGATAGAGAGTAATAAACTTCTGTATAGTATATATATCGATAGAGAGTAATAAAGTTCTGTGCTCTACATATCTCGATAGAGAGTTTTAAAAACGTGACTTGAAAAAACTTTCGATTAAAAGAGATTCAAAATGGCTGAACTGATTGCAACGAAATTTCACAAACAGATATAGAGCAACACCAGGAGCGATTTAGGCTATATTTTATCCGATAAGTAAGTTTTGTAATTCACCTAGTGAAAAGTGCCTCTTCTGAAGATCACCGATTAATTAAATGCTTATTGAAGCGGCGAAAGTTTGTCGACCAAATTGGCGATCTATTGAAATGGGGCAAACTAAGAGAACCCTTAACCGACGAGCATGTATGCGTAGGTATATGGATGTGGAAGAGACGAGAGGGGTGTGTCAGGATCGTGCTAAATGGAAGTCTGTAGTCTCTGCCTACCCCTCTGGGTGACAGGCGTGAGTGCGAGTGTACATGTATGTAATATGTATGAAGCGGTACACTCACAAATGAATAAAATTACAATAAATGTGAGAATTAATTACGTACAATTCGTAAGCAAAAATAAAATGTGTGTTTAAAGAACTTGCGCACTGTTTGAAGAACTAAATTGTGTGTGGTGTAAAAGCTACTCTATTTTACACTGATTTAAAATATTCAGCGTGTCCGATTTGTAGATTTGTTTCAGTTTCGGAAAATACGTCATTTTTTATTTGTAAACTGGTGCTTTCCTATATATAAATTTGATCAAGATCTGACCAGTAGTTTTTGAGTTATCCTTAATAATCGACTTCAAATATATTGATGACGTTCTTGTTTTATTTAATTATTGAAGTTGATTGTACAAAACTTTTAATTTATAAAGCGTGTCTTTTCTTCTATGTAGATTCTCTAGCAATGTATATGTCAATGAGTGTGGCACTTTAAACCGAACGCAATCACTATTATCTAATTTGAGCCTCAATGGCGAAACTGAGACGACTCCAATGAAAGGAGTCACGATTCTCAGTAATGGAGGACCGATTGTAGTGAAAGGTATAGGTCATATTTTTTAATTTGTTATAAATTTTCTTAACATTACAATCAAATAAATTACAATAAAATAAATTATATATCATCATATCGTCATCTATACAGCCCTTCACAAGTCCACTGCTGAACATAGGTCTCCCCCAAGAAATGCCACAAAGCACGGTCGTGAGCCACCTGCATCCATTGACTTTCTGCATGTCTTACCAGGTCGTCATATCATCTAGTGGGGGGTCGGCCTACACTTAGCCTACCCGTACGAGGCTGCCACTCGAGAACCTTTTTTCCACAACGGTTGTCGGTTGTTCGAGCTATATGGCTGGCCCATTGCTTACTAATCCGTTGGGCTATGTCAGTCACTCTGGTTCTAGGGCAGATATTCTCATTTCTAAGTCTATCACGCAGAGAAACTCCGAGTATAGCCCTCTATACAACTCGCTGAGCAACCTTGAGCGTCCTCGTACAGCACGCAGTGAAGGACCACGTCTCAGTTCCAGAAGTCATCACTGGCAACCCGCACTGGTTGTACATATATACATTAAGCCCAAGTATGAAAATGATTTCAATTTTTTCTATTTCTTACTAACACACTGCCGTATATTGCACTTTTTATTCATTAATTGCAGTCTATCAAAGTGTTCTGCTGAAAACAGGCTTCCCCATAGAATGCTCCATAAGGCGAATCTCCCTTGCAATAGTTGCCACGTTTGGGGGCAAATTGTAAACCCCAGTTTTATTTTCTGGTTGTGAACGCAGACGCTGCTGCCCATGACCTGGTTTATTCCACTCTGTCGCCTTTCACGATATAAACATATGGGAAGATATAGAATAGAATTATTTTTATTCAATAAATATTACAAGAAAACTTATTGAAAGTCATTTAATTTTTACCACTGGTACGGAAAAAAACACTGTCATGGAAAGGACCAGCAAGAAACCCAGCGGCACTTTTTTATAGTAATTTACAATATAAGTGATGGATATATTCTTTCATCTTTTAGTATATGCACGGTAAAGCATATATTTTTTGGTTGGTATAACCATCAGATAGTCGCTAAACAATTCACACATTAACCGCACAGCGTATGCATAAAGATAATATAGTAGGTACTCGAGTATGTGTATAGTATGTATATATTAGCACGTAGAAGTTCACACGACATCTGTTTGCACGAGTTTACACCTATCATCTAGCTATCTGCTATTTGGTAATGTTACTCGAAAATTGTGCAAAAATTAATATTTAAAAACATCCATATTTATAATAAAGAGTAAAGACAATTACAATCCTAATGATTTATAAATAAATATTATTTACCAGCAAGAATATAAGCGTAAAATAGCAGCTAATGCTGCCATGTTTCGTATGGTGGGTGCAGAGAATCGAAAACCCTTTTTAATGGAACGAGGTATTCAATTAAAGTCCTCTGGGGTTACAATTCATCCGAATTTTGATTCTTAATCTCTTAATAAGTGTTAGGTGGACTGTGTGCTCATTTGTCACCATTACTCTATAAAAATATATATAAATAGTCTGCAAATATAGGGTCGTACGACTTGTGACGGTTTTAGAATATGATACTCTACAATTTTTTTTATTATACATTCGTAGGAATTCATTTATATAAACCGGAAATTATATATCGTTTATCTTATAAAACAATCTAATATCGTTCAGCCTTCATATAACCCCTTGACCAACGCTAGTAAATTCACTCGAACCTTCATTACGACGTAATTCTTTATGTAGAGGTTATAAAAGCACGAAAATGCAGTTTTACAGTTTATTTAATACCCGAGTTGTTTCTTAGATTGTCTATTAACAATTTCACAATCTGATTTTGTTTTCATTTTCAATTTGTATCAAAGACTATCTGGTTTCGATAGAGAACTAATCTGCCGCGGAATATTCAAAGTAGGTATATTTTTAAGTGTTTAAGGAATTTAACGTTTAGATTTTTTAACACATTGTTTCAAACACAATCAAGGTGGCTAGGAATCGAAGTTGTATTATTTTGTTGAAAATGTAGAATGTTACGAATACAATAGAAAACTGCTCAATAGCGCAGTGGCTATACGTTTTGTTTTGGTTCTGCGGGCCGCGTTTTTGAGTCCTGCATGCATATGGAATGGTATATATAGTCCTTGTTTTGTTTCGAACCTAGATGTTTGATCATATGACCTAATGTCTTCACTAAAATAGTGTTACAGCCAATATAAATAATAGATTATTCATAGGTATTATTAAAGCAAGAATGTTATAACATATAAAGGTTAAAAAATACAAAATCCTCCTTTGATATTCGTAAAAGTAACGTAAATAAATAAAGTTAAACCAATTCAATAACGCTTACCTTTATTTGCAGGCGTTCGGCGACGTCGTGCTGATGATGCTTTTCTCACGGCGATCGTAATTAAAGAGTCCATCTCACTCCCGGAATCCCACCTTGGGCGTTGAGGGACTGGCCTCTGGACTCTCACATCGTCCTCTGTATCCCTATCACTGCTGGTTGGCGGCAGGTTGGATTCGTCACTTTCAGGCGACCTTTCTACTTTCGCACTACAAATCACTTCGATATTGACATCCTGAATATCATCCATATAGGACAGTGGGTGCGTCAAAGTCCTCTGTATATTACCTTTTCTATGGCGCATCTTCACTGAACTCTCTGATAGGGACCTTTTGCAGCCTAGTTTGCTCTCGGTTTTCGAATCTCCACGAGCACATTTTAAATCCGACGGAGACAAGGATTTCTTTCTAGAGTTGCGTCTTTTGATGCTCCTTTTTTGCCTGCTCGACTCTCGTGCTGTCTGCATTGTTGCACATTGGTGTTACCTGTAATTAAAAAAAATGACACACTTAATAACTTATCCTGCAGTTAAAAGTTATATACACGGGTATGTACTTTGACCTCGGGGACATTTTATATAATTTTTTAATAGATCCTATTTGGATTGTTCACCACAAAAGTGATAATCAGTAAAATTTACATATTCTATAGTAGAGACGGTGATTCAAGTGTAACGCGACATAGCTAGATAGAGTGGTTATCTCGCAAGACAGAAGGCTGCATCTCAAGACACGAGAAGCTGAAAATCGGTTTAAGTTCAGTAGCGGACTGCCGAAGATGCATGATGACTATAATGATGTTTTATATTCGAAACATGAGATCAAAGGCTGATTAAACTTATTTTTAAGAATCATATTTTATCGCATTTATTTTAACTTATTTGAAAACGCGACGTTTTATGAATTATGCAGCACCCCTGGTCACGAGGGGCTATAGAATGTTGTAATCGCGTAAATAAAAGATATCATTAAGTTAGGGACGTCAAAATTACTGTAATTTCCTTGAGTTTTTAAAATAATTATGGTTCCTAGATATTTGAAAATTCAATTTCGAAATCAAGCGGACATCAACAGCAAAAATTACCTTTCGAAAGGAACCGCAAACGTAAACCGAGGAAATTCAATGTTATCCGTATCGCATAGTGTCACTATTTTACTAAACAAATATCTATGTCAACATGTTTATCTGTGCAAAATTAATAATGTAATCACACAAATCATAACGCACATAAATGTAATTTAAGCGCGACAGCCGGTCGAATAAGTTACTTTCAGCCAGCAGCTGAATCAATCATTTACTCTTGTATTTCTTGTAACACACAATGGTATGAGTTAAAACGATTTAAAAAGTTAAAGGTCACATCACGGCCGCCGCCGAAACGCAACGCGACGTCCGCAGTCAACGGAACTTTGCACTCAACTGCCTTGTGTAGTGTTTAACTGTACAAGCGGTAACACCAGCCTAACTGTTATTAAGGCTTGACAAACAGGGTTTTCATTTCAGTGATAGGTGTGCGCTATTTGTATTAAGATATTTTACAAATAATAACTAAACACTTGAGACGCTGACGTTCTTTTTAGTTATTTTGTTATATAGCAAACATATTATGTGTAATACTTATGTATTTTATTAGAACATTTACTAGCCGAGTCAATTTAAAAAAATATAAAAGTATATATACAGAAATATTCTCGTAATTCTAACTCTCATAAGAAACACCAAATATCTATTTATTATTGATTTTGTAATGAGAACAACAGTTCTCATTACAAAATTTTTAAGTGAATCTAAACCATATTTTTTAAATAAATATACATCTATCTCTCTTGAGTCACTTGTATCCATCGACTCCCTGCATGACTTCGTTATTCATCTCTAAATCTAGGGCATATTATTAAACTGCGTTTGCCGATATATGGTTACTAATCGAGAATGTTTTCTCCCCGTTGTTTATCGATTCTACAAGTTAAATATAATATTTTTTATTATATCTTGACCATTACCAGTCTAGATGGACCCATCGATTGACTACATAGTCTTACTATGTTGGACGTACTAAGTCTGTCAAAACATTCCAGCGTCATCAAACTGGTAAAGGACTTCAAAACGTCATTTTTTGGCCTTCCGTTTATATATATGTGAACTACCAGAACTTCGACGGAGAGCAGCGTCAAAGTCGGCTGGTACTCTATCGTCAATGCGCCTGTCACCCGTGACTAAGATTGAGGCAAATCCTCCCTATAATGGTAGGTGTATGAGTTATAGCAAGAAGAAGAAGATAAAAAACTTCCTTATAAGAATACTTTCTCTTCTGAGTAATGAAGGAGTAAGGGAAACCAGTAACCAAATGAAAATTCCGAGCGTCTTTTTTAGGATTACATTAGCTAATTATTTTTATATCGGCTTGAAGTTTTGTGATTAAATAATCACAAAATCATATTAGTTAAAGAATTTTCGCGTTGCAAACCTAGTCTAGAATTGACTAATTGCATATTTATAGTCTAGAATAGTGCGTGCAGAGTACAATGATAATTTGTTTTATCAGCTAGTTAATAGTAACCACTTAAACGAAGAAATTAAAAATGGTCAGCTGACCTTAATTGTTGTCGCAATAGAACATTAATACTTAAATAATGTCACAATTATTCCTTTTTTATAGGAAAAGGGTGACAAGCGAGCACACAGTCCACCTGATGGTAAGTGGTTAATGTGGCCTACATCTATCCTCGTTTGCGAATCAAAATGAAGATGCGTTGTCAGCCTTGAGGACTAAGATGGAATGCCTCTTTTTCAGTGAAAAGGGTCTCCGGTTCTCTACACTCACCATACGAAACACAGCAGCATTAAGCTGCTATTTGACGCTGGTATTCTGTGAGAGTGAGGTCCTTCCCCGGTCGAGCCGAACCATTCGTGCTACAATTATACAATTAATATAGCTACAGTATGGCTATTCCACGTAAATTCTTAAATTCGTAAATTCCTTTTATATTCTTAGTTTATAAAAGCGAACACATCCATATTCGTTTTTTTTTATAATTTGGTATAAAGAATATTACCTGGCCTTTAGGAGCGATTTTACACTTAGGCATATCTGGCATTCATCCATTGGTATATTAGAGAGCTCAAGATCTCTCAGCGGGCAATGGAGAGGGTTATAATCGTAGTTACTCCGCGCTAAAGACTTCCTAATGAGGATATCCACATTAGAAGCAGAGGAACCGATATAGCGCAAGAGATCAGTAAAGTAAAGTAGAAATGGGCTGGCCATATAGCTCGAAGAACCAATCGATGGGAAACAAGTTCTCGAGTGGCAGTTTTGTTCCGGTAAGCGAAGTGTGGGCGCGGCCCCTCACTCGATGAAGTGACGACGTAATAAAAGATGCAGGCAGTCGATGGTTGCAGGTGGCTCAGGACCGTGCTTTGTAGCGTTCCTTGGAGGACGCCTATGTTCAGCAGAGGGCTAGTAATGAGCTATAATGATGATAATTTCCATTGGTATTGATTAATTACCAATCTGTTGCGCTATGTTGGTCATTCTGGTTCTACTGCGAGTATCCTCGTTTATGAGTTTAGCACGCAGAGAAACTTCGAGCATTGACTTCTCCATAGTTCAATGAGTGACTTTAAGCTTCCTCATACGGCCAGCAGTGAAGGACCATAAGTCATCATTTATGGATCTGAGACTGTACCGGTAGGCCGAAGTGTAGGGTGACCCCCCATGGATGGAGTGACGACCTGGTAAGACATGCAGGAAGTCGATGGATGCAGGTGACTCAGGACCGTGCTTTGTGGCATTCCTTGGGGGAAGTCTATGTTCAGAAGTGGACTTTGGTAAGGCTGTAATAATGATGATGATTAATTAAGTCTGTTTCAAAGGAGAAACGAAAACAAGAGAATTTAGAGGAATTTAGAGAGCATAGAGAGGTTTATATCGTTATAATATTTTTTTATAAGATAAGGATGACAAACGAGCATAGAGTCCAACTGATGGTAAATGGATACTGTAGACCATAGATATCTAAATTTAACCTAGATTTAGAATCAAAATGGAGATACGTTGTCAGTTGTCACCCTTAAGGACTAAGATGGAATGCCTCGATTCCAGTAAAACGGGTCTACAGTTCTCTACACTCACCACACGAAACACAGCAGCATTAAGCTGCTATTTTACGCTGGTATTCTGTGACAGCGTGGTCCTTCCCCGGTCGAGCCGACCGGGGAAGAACCACGCTGATGATTCGTGCTACAACTATAATAGCTGCAGCGTGGCTCTACCACGTATAAAATATTCGCACACGCAAATGTCTATTTATATCAATGTGGTTGAAAGCAGCCATTTACGCGCACTAAACGAAATCATAATGATATGAAATTAAACAAATATGTAATTAGTATTTCCTTGAAAAAATATGTAAATGGCAGGGTTTAAAAAAAAACACTGGATAAAGCAGAATGGTTATAAAATAATGAGCTAAATAGAAAAATTCAAATGATAATACATTTTAATTCAAGCATTAATTTATTTTATCATTTCAAGGCCCAAACTTAAAGTATAATGAAGATGTACTCAAACAAATCAAGAAAAATATGTATTGTGTGTCTTCAAAACAAAAACGAACTTACCTACAACAATTTTTTGTTTATATTATTAAATAAAATCCCTAACAATAGTTATTGACAACACCCTGACATGTAAGGAAGGTGTATAAATTCATTGATGTTTTTAATGACGGACGTACGTGTATTCTTTAATTTATTTATTTAACAACAAACAGTTATTATTTTTTTTATAAAATAGAGTTATTATTAAGCTATTGAATAAATAGGTACTACCTATAGTGCCGAATAGAACTATTTTTAAATTTCAAGACATAAGATAAGCGGTGTAGTTTTATCGGTGCCTAAAATATATATAATAAAAATAAAATATATATAATAAAAATAACGTTACAGATATACACTAAGCACAGAACAATCAACAGAATGTCGAGAAAGCTTGGGCTAAAAACACGAAATAAAACAAATGGTAAATAATTACTGAAATATCGCCTGTTTTATATACAAAATAAGGTAGCATTAATGTTTTTGTACCAACATTAAAGTTAATGTCTGAAATTTATTATCGTTCAAACAAGTAAGTCCTGCAGTTCTTAAAAATTAATTTGAATAAGAAGTAATTTGATCAAAAGTCGTTAAAAATGCTTTATTAAATCGCTCTAGTAGTTAATTAGGTAGTAAGCTTTTTCAGAAAACGATTTATTCACTTATACAATTATGGTATGTTTTGTTTAGGTTGTTATATTCCCAGAGATAAGACATGTAAAATAATTACCTACTGTTTAATGAATAGATCATGTTACTGTTATGATTACTAGTACTGGAGCCTTGTGTTTTTATTATACTGTGCTTGTAGTGTGTATGACAAGTTCTTCCAATTATACTTAAGTTAGGTCACAACATTCCCAT